CCACCACTGGAACAAGACCAGAATGGACACATTGAGTTGGACACTGCACCCATGTTAACCCCTGTACATAAGATAGTGTTAACCATGTCAACCCCTATACATAAGTCACGCGTACCTTAGATAGTGTTACCCTGACTGCATTTTTTTATTCCCATTCACAGAACATTGCAGGCTTTATTGTTGCAAACAGCTCTGCTGGCCTCGCAAAGCAAAGAAGTGGTACATCATTCGTCAAACACAGGCCTCTGTCCATCAGCTCCCCTACACTAAATTAAACCAGTGTGGTGCCGTGTTCAACTAGAATCCTGGAGACCCAGCTTCAAATCCTTGTCTGCCCTAGAACCTTGCTGAGTGACCCGGTCACACACCCTCAGCCCAAACTACTTCACAAGGCTGTTGTGAGAATAAAATGGAGGAGAGGACAGTGATGTAAGTCACTTTGGGTTCTCCCACAGGGGAGAAAGGCAGGTTAAATGAACAAACTTCCTCCAGAGAAAGGCTTTTTCCTCAGAGAAAGCCTGTTTTCCTTAAAAGAAGGGAGTTCTGGATTATTATTGAGAGGCAGCATGGAGTAGGAGTTAAGAGTGTCAGAAAAGGATCAGCAAGACCCCGCTTCAAATCCCCACTTCCTGGGCAATTGTGAATCAGTTACATACTCTCAGCCCAACCTACCTCCAGGTGAGGATAACACGATCAACAGGAGACCAACACAAGCCACTTTGGGTCCGCATTGGGAAAAATAGAGGGTATAAAGGAACAAAGTCAGTATTGGTGTGTATACCCTGCTTCCAAGGAGTAATAAGTTCCAGGGGTTCATTTTCTGCCTTGAGAAAAGTGCACTAGCGTCTTAACAGTGTTTTTGCCGCTATCTAGTTACTGATGCTGTGGTATAGGCACAGGTAGAGCCAAAGCAGCATAGGGCAGCAGCTCCCTGGAAAGCAAGATCCGCCTACCCAACATGCATTAGCCAACACACAGCAACAAGTGTTTTTCCTCAAAAAATACATTCTTTAAGCAGACACACACCTGTCCCCTCTAATCAGTTGTTCCAAAGCCTGATGGGTGTTTGGATAAGATCACTGCCCAACGTTTCAGGCCAGCTGAAACAATGACTACAAGCATTAAGCAGCATGGTCATTTTTTTGTCCTAAAGGGTAGATCAATCCACAACATAATAATCCCCTTCTTTAGGCTCCTACACTAATGGAAAATGGACTGATCCAGGTTAACTTCCAAGCCCTCTCTCCCTTTGTTTTCTCCAGCACATCTTCCAAGAAAACAGACCAGACCAACAGGATTCCTGCATTGAAATAAGGAAAAAAAGGGAAACAGGCCAGTCTAACACGCCATGCCTTTGTAAGAAGCTACCTATATCTTCCTCAAAAGAAGGGGCTTGGAGAAAATGGACTAGCCCGGCAGACCACGCCCCCTCACGGGACTAGCCACGCCCCGACAGTGAGGTGGGAAAGAATACAGCACCCCAAACCATCTAATTCTGCACTTTTCCTTGGCCTCCCCCGCCTCAGAAAGAAAGTGGACTCGCCCACCACAATCGTCTCATTCTCCCCTCCGTGCGTGAAAAATGGTTTAAGCCAAAGAAAAGCAATGTCCCTTCACATTCTTTCCTCTTTTCCCGACGCCCCTTTTTGTGCTTTTTAGTCGGTCCCGCCTCACCGGCGCGGTGTTTCTTCCCTCCGCCTTTTACAAAAAGGACTGCGGTCCAGCTCCGTTTCAGCGCTCCCGGCACTCACCATCGCCTCGAGAGTGTTAACCGCCGCCTCCATGTTAAATCGTTGACGCTCCTGAGGCAGCGACACGCCCACCTCCTATTCGCCGAACCGGCCCCGCCTTTATAGAAGACTGAGAAGGGGAAGAGACGACGCTTCCGATTGGTCAGCTGTCACTCGGAACGCCGTCTGATTGGTCTTCCCAAAGACATCTCCGAGCCTATTGGACAATACGATAGGGCAACTCCAAAACATGAGAGGGAAGCGCCTATTCGGTGCCGATGAGAATTATTGCGCTCTGATTGGTCGGTAACGGGGCAGCTTTGGCTTGTGATTGAAGCCGGAGCTTTATTCGTTTATTGGTCGCTAGGCTCGGCGCGAGGATCTTTATTGGTTACCCTTTTTCACTTTTTTGAAGGCGGGTTGGCCGTTGAGGAGCTCGTTCTCATTTCTTCTCCTCTTGTTTTGTAGAGGGCCCGCCCCTTCCAGCTTTTTGAGCTGATTGGCCGCCGTTTCGTGTTGGAATGCTAATAAGCTTGAGATTCGACCAATCATGTGTTTTATTACATAATTTGAAGTCCTCCCTTCTTTCCGAAGGAATAAAGAGAAGCGTGCTTTGATTGGTTTTCTCACTTGTCGGGCTATGATTGGCTCTAGAGGAAGCAGGATCTCAGTTTGAACTGTTGGGTGTGGTAAAGGGAAGATGCTGAGCAGATGCAGCTGGGGCCAGGAAGACTGAGGATTCTCTTTGGAGATTCAGGTGGGTAGTCGTGTTGGTCTGAAGCAGCAGAACAAAGATTGAGTCCAGCGACACCTTTAAGACCAACAAACTCTAATTCTGGATATAAGCTTTCATGAAGAAGTGTGCATGCAGATGACAACTTATACCCAGAGTTAAAATTTGTTGGTCTTAAAGGTGCCACTGGACTCACACTTTGTTATGATCCTTTCCTTTTTGTACTTTAAGAGGTAACGGGGAAAGGGGGAGGGCATGGTCTGTGGTGGATCTCGGGGGAAAGGAAGGCAGACAGGATTATTGCTTATATTTCCCTTGCTTTCCTCTCCCTAAGCCAAAACCTGATTTCAGATTAGCTCACCGAAGTCGGAAGCCCATGTAAGTGCCAGGTAGAATAGAGTGCAAGGATGCACCAGAGTTTTCTCTGCTGGAGCTGGGTCTGGGTCTGAGTGTTGTTTGTTACCGCTTGCAAGTTGAATTGGATTCAAAGGTAAAGGTTCCCTTGCTCGAAAGCTAGTCGAATCCGACTCTAGGGTTGCGGTGCTCATCTCCATTTCAAAGCTGAAGAGCCAGCGCTGTCCGAAGAGATTTCCGTGGTCGTGTGGCCGGCACGACTAAACACCAAGGCGCATGGAACGCTGTTGCCTTCCCACTGAAGTGGTACCTATTTATCTACTTGCAATTTCTTGCTTTCGAACTGCTAGGTTGGCAGGAGGTGGAACTAAAGACGGGAGCTCACTTCGTCATGCGGCACACTCGGGTCTCGAACTGCTGAACTACCGACCTTCCACAGCCTGCAGTTCAGCATCTTAATTTAGATTTAGAAGGGTGTAAATCTGCTTAGGTTTGCCCTGTCAGCTGCAGTGATTAAGGGTTGCCGCTTCAGTGGAGAATGTTTCTATCCTGTAGAGTAGATCTTCAGTGATTAATTGTTATGCCTTTTCCCATTTATTAAACGTGTATTGTTGTTTACAATGACAAATGTTTGCCAGTGTTATACTCCATTGAAGAGGCATCCTCAGTGCAGGCAGAGCAAGCTTCTGGGGAGTGTTTTAGTCGCTCCCACTGATTCTCCTTTTGGCTGGTCTCTCTCAGCTGTCAGAGGCTGTCCGGACACCCATAACCTCCTCAGCTATCTGAGCTCTGCTATCGTGCCCTTCCCTTTGGTTATCTTTTTTTTCTGGACTAAAAAGTCCCAGCTATTTTATTCTCTCTTTGTAGGGAAGATGGTCCAACGGTTTGATAATTTTGGCTGCCCTTCTTGCACCTTTTTCAGCCATATGCTATTTTCTTCTCAACTCTTTCCTTTAAAAACAATGTTCCTTTTATCAGTAGGTTTTATTGTTTATTTGCTATAACTATATATATTTATACATTGGTTTTAACCCATAACTGGTTTTCAGTCAGTTCCCAGTAACAACAGCTAAAATATTAGACTCTTGGGGAAATGTTTCTCTCCACTTATTTAAATATTTTAGCTGCTAGTATTTTCTTCTTTGCAGGGCCTGTGACCAACACAAGGGCAATAGCTCTCTTTCTCTCCCCAAATGTTACTGTGGATAGTTAATCCTAACTAGATGGGATTTTTTAAATATAAGGGTAACATATGCTGAAATAGGAAGGCAGAAGCGTATGCATTACAATAGATTATTGTCAAACACACTGTGGGAAAGTATTTCTTCATATGCTTAAAAGATTGACCAGAACTTATTATTTTATGGCAGGCTTCCTGATGAACCTCCACCTAAAGTTGGGGGAGAAATGGCCAAGTGTAAACAGCGACGCAGAAAACCAAGAGCCAGTGTGAGGATCAAGTTTAAAAAGCAGGAAAGTATCCCTCTGCCTCAGTGCTCAAGCATTCTCCCTCCAAAGTAGGTAGACCCAGCCTTGTTTAACATTTGTATTTATGTATTTTTCAGAAAGTTATGCTAGGCAAATGACAGAATAACAATTGGAGAGATCTGTTTTACCTCACCTTGTAATTTGTTACTCGTTGTGAATGGTCTCTAGCTTGAAGGCTGTGTTTGAAGTAAAACTTCTTTTCTAGCTAAGGATCTTTGCTCTCCCAGGCAGAGCTGAGCAGGAGTTATTGGAGACATTCAAGTCTTGCAATAAGCCAGGATCTGTACAACAAACACTGGCTAGTCTATCAGACATACATTAGGCATCATGACCTTACTTCTAAGATGAAAACAAGCACAGTTCCTTGTCTTGTTCCTTCCCTCCAACACCCTTTATATGCTTTTCTGTGTGGGTTTCCCCCCTCGGTTCTGGCCCCATACTGCCACGGTTTATCCCCAATATCTGCATGCATTTTTGTGTCTTTAGTTTTCAGTTTGCTGTTTCCCCTCTCCCATCCCCCCAGTTCTTTTTCTGAAATCCGATTTTGAGTTGCCTTTTTCCTCGTGCGTCATATTTTGTCAAATTTTTTTTGTCCCGCCCTCTCCTACCCACTTTCAGCCCGCTTTTCAATGACTGGTGGTCAAACCACACCCTTCTCTCCCCAAAAAAATTTCTTTTGGGGCGGTGCTGTGCCACCACTGATGACAACAGCACCCTCCTTTGAAATCATCACTGCTGAAGGCAGCTGAGGAAGAAAATAACTCCACATCTGTGAAAATGCAGAGGGTGGGCAGACATGCAGCAGAACCCAGCCCAAACGAATTCCACTGCTTGTGGATCAACTCCCAAGAAAACCAGGAGTAAGTCAGGTGTGCAGAAAAGCCCATAGTAAGAGCACTGTTGGAACTTCTTGCTTTGGGGAACCTTCAACAGACTCAGGCAGGCGCCTGTAACAATGGGACTTCGTTATCTCCTTGCAAATTGGGGTTCTGAACCTCAGTTGCATCCCAGTTTGTGGGAGGAAACAAGCTCAGACATCTCCAGGCACCTGCCCAGCAAACAGAACTTCGTTGAAGGCTCCCTGAACCAGGAAGCCTTCAGTGATGTTCCATGTGCAGAGGCAGGAAGGGGCATGGAAGAGTGAGAACCAGCTGTGCTTGTGCCGGTCATGGACAAACGGGTTTTGTGATATCAGAATGTGACCCAACAAATCCTGTCTTGTACATAAGTCCCAGTTCATTCTTGCCTTCTCCGCAGCTTCTAGTAAGGAGAACGTTCTCCCTATTGCACCGAACAGTAGTGCCATTCAGCAAACCTCAGGCATCACAGCAAAAGACATCTGATACAAGCTGTAGTTAACAAACTTTAATGTGAAATCCTGGTTTGGTACCTATCTGCCAAATTAACCAGGCTTTCTTGGGACTGTTTACACTGATGCTGAAACTGACTGGGATTTCTTCAAGCCGCAGTTAGTTGTGATGTCTGAACCCTGTCTTTGTAGGACTTAGATCCACCACTGTAAGACTTGGGAACAAACAATTAGGAAGGGAGTAAGACTGTACCTTCACCTTTTGGCTCCTAGAATAAGGATACGCATGGACTCCTTCTGGAATAGAACTGTTTCTAATTTTAAATATGCTTTAAGAGAACAGGTGTGAAATTGCATTCAAAGTAATGTTAAAATTTCTGTTTGGCACTGTCTTTGGCAGGCTTCCAGTTTCAGACTTGAACCAAAGTAGGCCTTTTTGTTCCTGGGCTTTGACTCTTCCTAACATAACAAAAGTAGTGAGGCCTTTGGTCACAACAGTGCTCTGTTGGTACTGCTGGTGCCAGAACAGTGTTATCCAGGTAAGAGTTTGTTGTTGGTTTTGAAATCCCCTAAATTTTTCATGTGTTTCCAGCTGAAGTAAGCACACCTACAAACAGTACTATTACACTTGTGATTAAGAATTAGTGCTTTCTATAGCCTGGATGGGCTGTTAACTCAGTGGCAGAGACTTATTTGTCTTGCTTTTCACTCAGCACAGCTGAGATCTGCCACGTTCAAATATATGTTATGCCAGCAACGTAGGGTGCTTTCACCTACTTTCTATGCACTTTGCAACTGGATTTTACTGTGTCAAATGGTAAGATTCACTTGCAGACAATCGCTAAAGTACATTGAAAGTGTAATATTCTGCAGGTGTGGAAGTCTTAGTAGTCTTTCTTCAGAAGCCATTTGATCCAGCAATGAATTCCTAGTGAACCTGGGCCAGTGTGGTGTAGTAGTTAAGAGTGTCAGACTAGTATCTGAGAGACCCAGATTCAAATCTCCACTTATGCCGTGGAAACTTGCTAGGTGACCTTGGGGCAGTCACTCTGACTCAACCTAACCTACCTCACAGGGTTGTTGTGCAAGGATAAAATGGAGGAGAAAAGAATGAGGTAAGCCACTTAACATTTAAGTAGGAGTGTAAGTTAGATAAATAAGTAGACATCTTTAGTTCCCCCCTCCCCCAAAAAACTATTGCCCTGATTCGTTACAGAGTTTAAAATGCTACATGGGGCAGTTCAGACCGGTGAGAGAAGGTCTGAAGATGATTTCCAGTTTCTTGTTGCAGGGAGTTGTGGTATGCATTGGTCTTGTGCCCCATTTCTAGAGGAAACCAGCTTTCTTTCTTTCTCCTGCAGTTCCCCCAGTTTTTTCAAGTCATCAGGAACGCAGTATTTCAATCACATGCATCCCTGCAAGAGTTAAACGCACTTAGAGAACGGTTAGAAAAGCTAGAGACAGAATTTGCTGCTCTACAATCAATGGTCCAGGTAAATCACCTGTGGCAAAGTTTTTGTGTTTTCTAACGCACGTGCATCCCTTGGTTTCTTTCTATTTTAAGGAGGCTATTCGTACAGGACAGAAATCCAGCCACTTTTGTTATCCTGACACTTATGCTGGGTTCCCAGGCAAGCTTATGTGGTACCTAGGTGGCTGTTCCATGTTCAGCTATATACCATAGGAGCCAGACGGAAGGAAGCATGACAAGACAAGATATATGGACAGTTTCCAGCTACATTGCATAGTAGATAATCCGCTCTCTGTAATTCCCTTGAGGCTCCCTTGGTTTGATTCTGTCCAGCTTTTACGAACGTACTAAACCATGAGAGAGTTTTCACAGGCAGTTCAAAACTTCTTCAGATTTGACCCCTCAGAAGTTACACATCCCTGTGGGTCGTGTTAATCATTTGCAGTTAACACCTCCGACTTTTTGTAAAGATTTGGTTGCCTGGAGGTCGCTTCTGCTTGCCACAGACAAACAGATGTTCATCATTCTTGCTTTGGTGTTGTCAGTAAGTGTTGATTATTTCATAGGAAGCTTCTAAAGCCAGGAAGGGGAGGGGTTCAGTCCAGTTGCATGAAGAAGAGCTGTCAGCCCAACTGTAAGGTCTGCTCACTGTGGGCTAGGAAAGCTGAGCTGGTTGATCACAAGATTTCTCCCCCACGGTATAAGTGCAGTCTGCTCTCCCTTTTTGTGTTTAACAGAAGGAGACTGTTGTTCCCTTAGAAAAAACATCTTGCCAGACATTGGAGGACGGCCAGTGCCAGCGTTCCACTCCAGCACCTCTTCACCTTGTGGAGTTACCATCCTCGCATTCTCAAGCTTCGATGCCACCTGCGCCACCGCCACCACCTCCCCCTCCTCCCCCTCCACTGCCACCTCCACGAGTACCTCGGTGTCTCAGTAAGACTGATGGTGTTAAGAAACAGGTGATGTGATTGTATGAATTGTCTGGTCAGAGATCCATCTAGACAAGCTGTAATTATTCCTTGTTTTATATGTGTGTGTGTCTCTTTAAAAGTTTGGTTGTATGGCTGTGTGATTGACAGAGAGGGGGAGGGGTTTTAGAAAGTGTTTCTGAGTGGATGAATGGGTATGTCCTTCAGGAGTGACAGTTAGAAGTTTGACAGTTGATAAAGACAGTTGATAAGTTAGTTCGTTCTGAGGTCTGAGGGAGAGATACAGTCTTTTGTGTGATACAAGAGTTAAGTTCTGTGTATGAAGAAAAGTTGAATGTATAAGGAAACAAAAGTTAAATGAAAGTCTGAGTGACAGACTGGAGTGAAATAGGAAACGTATATGACCCTGAGTAATGAGTTACAAAGTTACTTGAAAAATCCCTGTCAGAAAGGGAGCAGATCCTGTGTGAGACACAACGAAATTGTTAAAATTATTCATATTACTGGTTACATTGTTTTGCACTTTTATTTATGAACTGTTTCAATAAATCTTCTTTTATTTAAGTCTGCCAGCTCTGAAAGAAATAATTCCTCAGGAAACACATAGACCCTCATGAGACTTAAAAACTCGACCTAACTATCTAGTGATAGCCAAAAGAAAGTATAAAGGTTTGGAAAGCCTAAAATTTCCTGGTGGCAGCCTAACCTACCCAGTTGAACAAAATAAAAAGAACCCTTTTAAAGTGAAACCAGGCCTCCCCAGATAAGGGGTCGTCACACAAGCCTTTTGTGTTTTGGAAACACATGGTAGGGTGAAAGGCAGTCTGGTTTTCAGGAACAGACTGCTTCTGAAGGTAGAGGATCTGCTTATTTTTAAATTTTCCTATGGTTTATTTAATTGCTAATCCAAACCACCTTTAAGGAGCGCAGGATGGCATGCCTAGGTTCTCTCACTCCTGTTTTATCCTCACAACAACCCTGTGAGGTAGGCTTAGTCTAAGAGATGATGACTGCTCAATAGTTTTCCGGCGAGCATCATAGTAGATCCTGGATTTATTCTTTATGAATTTATTGAAACATTTAAATACTGCTTTTTGACAGTATAATCTTAAAATATCAATAATAACTAAACAATATACCAGCAACAAGGAAGGGGGAAACTGATAGGATCACATTAAAATATCACACAAGCAGCCAGGATCAGGTTGGTTCATTTAGTTGTACCATCTTCCTAAATCCTAGAAAGTAGGGTGCCAGCCGTGTCTTCCTGCAGAGGGTACTTGATGCTCTTGCTGCTGTCACCAAGGCACTTTCGTGTGCCACAACGCACCAAGTTTCTATGATAGGCAACAGCACATGTAGCTGGCCTCACCCAAAGACTTTGGAGTCCAGTTAGGAACCTATTGGAGAAGGTGATCCATCAGGTGTCCTGGAACCAAACTGTTCAAAACTTTAATAGTTTTGTTCAAAACTTTAATAGCACTGTAAATTGGACCTGGAAATGAAATCGGTAACCAGTGAAGCTGGAACACAGGATCACTTTGACTTACACAGAAAATGATTGGGCTGTCGCTCTTTTTACTAACTGAGGTTTCCCCAGTCTGACATCCTAACTACTATCCCACTCTGGCTGTCATTGAGCTGGCTTTGGAACATATTCAACAGTAGACAACAGAACACAATGAAAACAGTTTCTCCCATGCTAAATAGCCAGTAAAGCAATGTATGCAATAAATATATGGATCTAGCTATCCATGTCTTTATTGCTTTCCTTGATTTACTGGCTATTTAGCATGGGAGAAACTATTTTTATCATTTTCTGTTGTCTACTGTTTGGACAGAATCATATAAGTGCTGTGGGGTTACTGGGTGAGATGTAGTTGTTTCTCCGTGTTTTTGAGAGGGATGTGTACTCTGAATCCTCTTTTCAACATACATCCCTTTACAGAAATAATAATGAAAATCTGTAGGGTGATGCCAGGGTAATATCAACAAATGTGGCAGATAGATCAAATGGGGACTAAGTCATTATGCAAATCAAATAAAGCATAATCCCTTTAAATTCTCATCTCCCAGTGAGGTTGAATCCTAACTATAGAGTTCGAGACCTTACAGATCTGAGCTTTCTTGTTCCCTCACTTCTTTCTTCGTCTTGTCCACTTTCTCCTTTTGGTTCAGGATGCCTCGTTAAAAACAGATGTGCCTATGCAAATAACCCTCAAGGATCTCCTGAGCGTGAAACTAAAGAAGACACAACGTTGCCTAAAAATAGAAAAGGTACGTGGATACAGTTAATATTAAAATGTGTTTGTTTATTTAACTTGTATCCCGCCCTACCCCACAAATGGGCTCAACATAATAAAAACCAAGATATAAAAACAGTTCAACGAATTAAAACAAGATGGCATTAAACTTAAGTAATCCAACATCTCCTGTGACATTTGAACAGGCAATGGTAGATGGCCTGATTTGTAACAGTTTTTGATCAGATGGTGGGAGGCAGTGCTCCCTCTAAACTGAGTTAGTGTGAACTAGCTCATAGTTTTTTAGCCTCCGGATCACACATTTTTGTCTCAGCTCAGGAAGGATGGCTCCAGAGCAAACTAATTTATGCAGCAGCCAGATAGCTCGCTCACGACTTTAATGCCCAGGAGCTCACGAAGTAGACTTTTTGCTCACAGGACTCCACTGCTTAGAGGGAGCATTGGTGGGAGGTACCTAAAAGAATAGTGCCCAATAGATTATAAACAGTGTCTAGGAAGCATTGGGCAGCAAGTACCAAAAGGCAGGGCAGGCCGAGATGGTTTAATGTTTAATGGTTTGCTTTGGGCTAGGTGATTTGGAGCAGCGGCCTAAGAATCCTTTGAGCTGCCTCTGCAGTAGCAAATCAGAACACAGAATCTGGTGTAACGAACCTGGCGGCAGCACAGTGATGCAAGTTGTGGTGTAGTCACAGTAAGGAAGACTCTGTGGATGTGTACAGACAATTATTTCTGCGGGTCATCTGATACAACTGCTTCCTGGCTCCAGTAATTTGCCCTGTACAAGCACAAAATTCCATACACTGTGCAGACATATTTAGAAGCTTCAGCGTAGAGAACAAAGGTGAAACTAAAACGAGCCATTTCTTATGCCAGGATTGCCCCAGAATCACGTATCCGCTTTCCACGTTGTGCAGCCTTTTAAACATGGACTGCAGGAGGCCGGGCAGAAGCAACGATTCCAACTCTCAAGCGGTTGGTTGGTGACTTGGGTTTTGTTTTTTACTGACCCCAAAATTGCCACTCAAGGCTGATTAAGGTCAAGTTAGCAGCCAGTCATTGTGAAAAGTTTAGGGTTTGGTATGTATAAATGAAGAAATGGGGTAGCGTTCGAGATTTTTATTTGCAAGCACCACCTTCACCTTTTCCGTGGTTAACTTAAACCTGTACCAAGTGGTCAAATACATTTATTTTGGTGTTTGTGGATTCCAAAGGTATGGAAGCTATCACCTGTGAAGTAATCTGTAAGAGTTTGTTCAGTGCTTTCTCCCAGCTTTCCCTGTGAAAAATTAAGTTTCCAGCTTCTATGACTGAAAAAATTTGGTGTTAAAGTCCTTAGGCAGTTCCTGGTAATCTCCATTGCCAGATGGACATGCTGAGCAAGTTCTTCAAGGCTTAACGGACAGTGCTTGGGGTGGGGCGGAGGATATCGTTGGAATTGTTTCCGTTTTTGGAATGCAGCGTGCCAGAACTGTGGAGCTGTCAACTGCTTGAGGCCTGATGGGAACTTTTTTAAAATATCTGATTTTATTCTTTCCTTTTTTTTAATGTTAAGGGATCACCTTTGCAGAAACGGAGGGCATTAATTACCATCTCAGATTTGCAGAGCGTTAGTCTGAATTCCAAAGCCGCAGCGCCGCCGAACCGCATTGCAAATAGTTCCAGGTAAGGATTCTGCTGCTCCCTCTGATTTCGTAGATATCTGTGTTACTGACCCTTGTACGCTAACTTACAGTTAACAGTAGGCCCACTTTTCAAGCCCTGGCTTGAATTTTACTGTTCGCTCCCTGTTTTTTTCCTCCAGCACACCCAGCAGAAGTTGCATAGATTTTCGAAAACACCTAAGAAGGGTCTCTGCTAAGAGGTAAATATGTTGGTTGGTTTGTTTAACTGGGGCAGAGGGTGGTGCAGAAGTCTTTTAGGGAAATAGAAGATGGAAGTGAATACTCCCTGGTGCTGGATGCATGCTCTTTTGTCTCTTGCAGGAGTCCAGGTGGGACCCCTTTAATCCACAAAGAGAACCTTGAGACTGGCACAGGATTGACCCCGCTCATGACCCAGGCCCTTCGTCGCAAATTTCAGGCAAGGCAACCTAAACGGTCATAATTGCACCTTAAATTGTGCAGTTGATTGGGGCATTTGCAACCCTCCCCCCTAACGCATGCAACCAGCGGTAGGAAGAGGAAGCTATGAAGCCGGCTTATGATGAGTCAACTTGATCCATCATGCCCAGTATCAGTTACTCGGCCTGGCAAGCGGCTCTCTAAGGACTTGGAGGGAGGGAGAGCTGCTACCAGAGGTATCTGCTGCTTTGAACTAGAGGCAGCAGGGCTTGAACGTCGGAATGTCTTTGCGCAAGGCAAGTGGTCTGCCACTGAGCCATGGCCCCTCTTTCTGTGAACTTATGAAGCTGTTCTGTACTGAGTCAGATCACTGGTCAGTCTAGCCTGAGGCCACCTGCCCTGACTGGCAGTGGTTCTGCAAGGCCTTTGGGAGGCCCCCCGGGGGCCAAGCCAGACCCCCAAACCTTGCTTTTGCCCCCCATGCCTTGCAAAAATTTGCTTGGTGCCCTCTTCAAACTCTTGTATTGAATTTCAGTTATTGCAGGAGAGAGTTAATTCTAGCCTCTAACGTTGCTTCCGTAACACACCTCCTCTACCCTGCCTGTCCACTCCAGTCAAGTTTGGGGGACCCCGCTTCAGGTGCCCCATACCCATCTGTGGCAAAACGGATGGCAACTTGAGAATGGGCCCTCTCGGTTGTGGCAGTGATACTCTGGAATTCCATCCCAAGGGAGATTCATTTGTCTCCCTCTACCGTTGTCTTCTGAAGACTTTCTGACTGTCATCGGCCCTCCTACACGGTTGTGTTGTTATGTGCAGAGGAGATGTGGCTCAGTGGTAGCGTATCTGCTTTGCATGTAAAACTTCCCTAGTTTGATCCCCGGCATCTCTAGTTAAAAGAATCAAGCAGTAGATGATGTGAAAGGCCTCAGCCTGAGACGTGACCTCTAAAGCAGGGGTGTCGAACTCATTTGTTATGAGGGCTGGATCTGACATAAATGAGACCTTGTCGGGCTAGGCCATGTGAGTCATAAAATGTAATGCCAGGTAGCGGAGATATAAACTTTATTAAGGACACAAACACAAAGGGTTTTTTTAACAAAATAAAAACATGATTAAAACATCAGCACTCTTACAATATTTTGTTTATTTAAGAGTGTCTGCTAACTGACACCTCTTGCTCTGAATTACTGCATCAAAATGTCTGTGCTGTTGTAATCTTGAGCATGCTGTTCAGGTTTGTATCTGTAAGCTGCAAACCTACGATGATGCAGCAGCGGCAGAACTGGAAGAAGAAGCAGAAGACAGCCAGTTCCACTGCGGGCCTGAGAGAAGCCCTCCAGGAGCCTGATCTGGCCCCTGGGCCGCATGTTTGACACCCCTGCTCTAAAGGGTGGCAGTGTACGGGGCCAGGTGAATTTGGGTGGGGTGTTGGTTCCATAATTGGTTGTCACCATACCCTTTCTCCTGTAACGAATTGCCTACCATCTGGAGGCAAGGGCATGCCTAGAGGTGCTGCCACAAACGATCCTAATGGCTAAAGGTAAAACCTGCCGTCAAGTTACAACTGACTCCTGGCGACCCCATGAAGTTCTGCCTAGGCAGGTTCGTATAGAAGCTGGTGCACTTCAAGACCGCCATCTCTGGGCCAAATTCATATTTGCCATTTTAAGAGCATTTGTCCTCCTTTAAAAATTGCCGCAAGGCCCCGATCTGGATCAGGCAGCCCCAGGATCCCTTGTTTCCTTTTCAAATGTCGAAACAACCCTGAGGGGGGACGCCAACCCATTCTGGACTGGGACCTCATAGCAGTTTTTAAAGAACCCCAAACGCTTTTAAAATGGGGTCGACCGCCACCTGGGTAGACCTGTGCCTGCCGCCCCTTGTACTTTGACCCTCAGGCTGCCTGAAGGCTTTGAGAGTCAATAGCATCGCTTTAAACATGTGATCAGGAACTGAGGTGTAGCCACTAAGGCTGGTCTTTAAGGGGCGGATCAGCCCATCCAGAACAGGAGAAACTCTACCACATTGGATGAAGTGATCACTTACCAACAGATCCTCCGTGCGCTCTGGCACTGACTTATTTGTTTGGCCTCCCCCACCCGTTATGGACCCTTGTTTAGGATAGATACAATTTCATCTGATGCAGGTGACTGGAAAATGGAGCATCCTGTGTGCACAGGTGACACCCTTGTCCCAAGTCTCTGGGCGACCTTACTGAGCAGATTCCTGTACGTGCTAAATTATTTATTTATTAAGTTTGACTTTTAGGCCTCCCTCCCCCTGAAAAACAGGGCTCAGGGTACAACAGTGATGAAATTACAATCTTGCAAAAGATTTCAGAATTAATACATAAAATGCAATTTACAGCAGGCTAAACCAATCTGACGGTAGTAATTTTTGGAGTGTCATTGCCTCGTAGAGGAGGGAGGCAGGGAAGGAAGAGGGGGACGAGTGGCAGACTTGATGGAAGGCCGTCGCTGTCCTCAACCAAACACCTGGCAGGACATCTCTGCCTTACACGCCCTGCGGAACGGCAGCAAGTCCCGTGGGGCACGGATGTTATTCGGCAGAGAGTTCCACCAGGTAGGGGCCAGGGAAGAGAAAGCCCTGGCCCTAGTTGAGGACAGCTGGATGTCTCTCGGTCCGGGGACCACCAGTCTTGTGGAAATAACACGGGGGGAGGACCCCGAAGAGCCCCATAGCAAAAATGCCACTGGGCCAAGAAGCAGTCCCCTCACCCCACCTTCTGGCATGTCCTTTGGGGTAGGTTTGGAAGCACCTTTCACCTGCAGGGACATTCCCCTAGGATCAGAGTAATTTGGCCAGTGACCGTCTTCTGCCTGCCCCATCTAGGGGTCCACAGATGGTGAGCACATTGTATGCTCTAGCAAGGGACACGCAGTGTGGGATCCAAAGCCTAGCAGCGTGTGGAATGGTGATTCTTCCACCCTTTACCAAAAGCCTGGAGAAGGGCAAGACTCTTGTCTGTAATGCCGTGCTGGTCGTCGTAGGCCCTTGGAAAGCAGCTTCTGAGTATGTCTGAAGACCAACATGATGTCTGGGGTGAGATGTTCATCAGCTGGGGGAGGTGTCAGTGGTCGTTAACAAATTTCAGCTGGTACAAGGTACAGTTGGTGGGCCCTGTTTTAGCATTGCAGCAGCCCAGCCCATCCTTCATAGGGACTTCACTGCTGCCACCCCAAACTGCTTGCCTTATTAAGCTATCGAAGGTTCTGCTGGAAGTTGAAACCTTTTGTCCTGTCCTTTCTTTCTCTCCAACAGTTGGCTCACCCCAAAAGTCCCTCTCCGTCTCACTTGCTCAGAGGAAACAGCTTTGAGGAGCAAAGTTAATACCGCTTCGCCCAACGGTGTGTTCAAGGTCCTCTTGCCACTGATCTGGACTCTGTTGGTCACTAATGACTCTACTTGGATGTATGGAGGCTGTTACTAAGAAAGCATCGGGGGACAGCATGGCAGACCTCGAGGGCAGATCCCTCCGTTCCCTGGAAAGGCAGGCAAGAGGAGACTCTGCCCCGTCATCCTTCTGTTCCTCTCTGCTGCATGTGCCAAAGTAGCTTGGGGGAGCCGCGTCAGTGTTGTGGCCAAGGGGGTGCCCCAGAGGCTGCTCATCACCACTAGATGGTCTTGGACTCACTTCAACCTCTCTGGGTAGCTTTGTATGTGAACAGATTTTCAGTTTTCTCTGCTGTAAATATAATTTTTTCAAACTTATTTTTCAAGACTTTGGTATTTGTAAACCCAGAGAAATTTGTGTGTCTTTAGAACTCAGAGCAGTGTTAGAGGTCTGCCCAGGACCTTAGCAAACAGTGCCTCTGAGCCTATGCAGAGTGATTTTGGGTTATGACAAGCTGCTTCACCTGGGTAGACAGAACTACAAAATGGGAGGTAAGGATAAGATTTCATGATAAAGCTGAGCACAAGCTTTGTAACGGGGCTAGTCACAGTGTCAGAAAATATTGTTCTCACCTCGCTTGTTTTTGCACTTGAGGAAACAGTGCCTTTGAGCACGTGCTGGTAGTGTCTTTGGGCTGTGACAATGTACTAACTGCAAAATGCTTAGCATTCTTCCTGTGCGCAGGTTTAAAAAGAGCATCCACAGATCCCGTGAGCATGGCCAGGTCTGTGAAATCCTGTTCCTGCAGTGAACAACTGTAGCCTAAAGGCATTTTGCACATGCTCAGAAGCATTTTTGTTATAATCATGGCTGTAAGCAATGGGGATGCAAGTACACCCTCAGGAAGAATAAGTGGGGTATAGAATATACGACTCATGGGATAGGGCGGGATATAAATTTAATCAGTAATAATAATAAATCATCACCGGGGAATGGAATTAAACTTTCTATCCCAATTTTGGTTAAAAATCCCTCAATTTTTACATTCCAAACCAGTGCCCTAAAATAATCTACAGGCTAGAAGTGAGCCACAAAAGCTACCTTAAAAAATGGACCATATGTTAAAAGCCTAGCTAAAAGGCAGTGTTTTGGGCTGGCACCTAAAAGTTGAGTAGGTGCTAGGTGAGCCTCAAAAGGGGAGGATCACTGAAAAATCCCTGTTTCTAGTAACCAGGCACCTCACCTTTGCAGGCTCATACATGGAGTGGTGAGCCTGAGAACAGAATTTATATCCATCATATCAAAATGGGCATCTCTGTGTGATGCAGGCGTGTCTGTGTGTGTGTTGTGCCATAAAACAGGTTAATCTTTTTAGAATGAGTGTCTGATGGGAGAAAAATGGGATTAATTAGATCCAAATTATGCCACTAACAGATGGCTTTAAAAGGGGATTAGACAGACTGATGGAGGAGAGGTGCATCAGTGGCTATTAGGCTAAAGGGAACCTCCTCATTCAGAAGCAGTAAACCTCTGACTGTTAGTTCAAGGAGACAACATCAGGGGAAGACCTTGGCTGCTATGTCCTGTTAATTGGCCATATGGGGGCAACTGGGTGGCTACTGTGTAAAACAGGATGATGGACCACTGGTATGATCCAGGAGGGCTCTTTCTTATGTTCTTTTGAACCAGATTTAATTTGGTCTGCAATCCATTTGTATGCCCTGAACTAAATAGCCCAGTCTTGTCAGATCTTGGAAGCTAAGCAGGGTCAGCCCTGGCTCGTATTTGGATGGGAGACCTCCAAGGAATACCAGGGTTGTGATGTGGAGGCAGGCAATGGCAAACCGCCTCTGAACAGCTCTTGCCTTGAAAGCCCTACAAGGTTGCCGTAAGTCAGCTGTGATGACAGAACTTTCCACCACCGCCATCATTTGCATCGTCAACTTGGTAGTATGTGTCTGTTTTTTGTGGTCAAGTATCTTCTGAAAGCAGCTAACAAAAGTAATTTTTAAAGTTACTGAATTGTACATTAAAGAGTATGATGTCTCACTCAAGGAACACGGGTTTGCAAGGGAGCTGTTGGTTTAGAAAATTAACCTTTGCCAGTCATCATTTTTTTGTTGTTGGCAAAAATCAAATCACTGAATGGGTTGGGGCACAGAGGAAAGGGGGGCATAGTTTCAGTACTCCCAAGGAAAAAGGTTATTTCTGGCCGAGGCCTGGCCTTTGGGGTATGCCGGTGATGCGCCTGTCATATAGCAGGGCTACCCTGCTTTCCGCAGTGCCAGTCTCTCTGGGAGCTCTCAAGGAGGGCAGAGATGTGAACCACAACCATAATCCCACATGGAGAGATATACTAGAGCTGCCCCAGTGGAACACGGCGAGAGAGGTGGACCCACAGCTATGCAGGCCCTGGGCCCGGAGTTATAAAGCAGCCCCTTCTGAGCACAGTAATTCTTCATAAACTTAGGACTGATTGGATCATTCAGTCATTTCTAATTCAAAGGCAGGCAGAACACCCCCCGACAGTGGAGGCTGATTGGAAAGAGTTAATCATACAGCCAGTTAATCATACAGTCACAACAACCAGCCTCTTCTGTGAATGGCTGCTTCGGGCAATTAGGAAACTTCACTATATTTCTCATGGCACCCCAGCAGTTCTTCGGTGATGCAATGGTGACAGTTACTGCTTTACAGAATGCCCAATTAATGAATGCAATTCAGTGCTACAGGATACTGTGGCCACTAGCTGAAATAGCTTTTAAACAGGATTAGACCCATTAATGGGAAGACGTTTTATTTTTAGCTTTTGTCCGTAATAACTGAGGAACCAAACTCTATGTTTAGAGGTGGTGTCTCTGTGTGGAGAGGGGGATGTGGACCTTCACTTCTTGCTTAAGAGTTTACCAGCAGCATTTGGCGAGAGACAGAAGGCAGAGTGAGACCAGTGTTCCCTCTTAAGGTGAGTTAGTGTGAGCTAGCTCACAGTTTTTTAGCCTCCGGCTCACACATTTTTGTCTTAGCTCAGAAAGGATGGCTCCAGAGCAAACTAATTTATGCAGGAGCCAATATCGCTCGCTCACAACTTTAATGCCAGTAACTACATAGTAGAATTTTTGCTGACAAGACTCCACAGCTTAGAGGGAGGATTGGGTGAGATGTGCCCTAGTCAGAACCAGCTGTGTGTCTGTACGTGAAGACTGATTTGCATTATGGTGATACGCATTCTGCACAATTGCTGTAGGCACTCTAGTGATGCAAAAGATCTTCCTGCAACAAAAATGTTAAGCGTCAGGTGCTAAGCTGGATGCAGGGATGCTTCTGTCACCCCTGTGCTTGATCCCCACCTGTTTCCAAGCACAACACAAGATCAAAACACTGGCTCTTGCGTTTAAGGCCCTGGCTTGGGACCAGACTACCTGAATGGCCGGTGCTTTCTGTATAGTCCAGCTAGCCAGTTCAGATCTACCTCCCAAGCCCTTCTCTCTAGGGTTGCCAACCTCAAGGTGGGGCCTGGTAGGAGGCAATGGCAAACAACCTCCGAATGTCTCTTGCCTTGAAAACCCCATGGGGTTGCCATAAGTCAGGTGTGACCTGAAGGCCTATATATATATCCATGATAGGTCTATGTGCCTCAGAATTGAGTTGGGAAAAAAAATCACAGGGAGCTCCAGACCCAGACCTCTCCGCCCATACCTGATTCAGCCCTCATGAATGTATGAAAAATGAGAGAAAAAGAGTAAATGGGGTGATCTATCCCAGAGGAGATCCTCATTCCACTCAGGGATGTCATTTCAGTCCCAGAACACAGATCCCAGGCCTAGGGGCTGTCATACGCATAAAAGGTAAAGGTTTCCCTTGCTCAAAGGCTAGCCGAATCCGACTCTAGGGTGCGGTGCTCATCTCCATTTCCAAGCTGAAAAGCCAGTGCTGTCCGAAGACGTTTCTGTGGTTATGTGGCCGGCATGACTAAACGCCAAGGCACACAGAACGCTGTTACCTTCCCGCCAAAGCGGTACCTATTTATCTACCTGCAGTTTCTTGCTTTCGAACTGCTAGGTTGGCAGGAGCTGGGGCCAGAGATGGGAGCTCACTCCGTCACGTGGCACTCGGGTCTCGAATTGCCGAACTACCGACCTTCCCACTCAGCATCTTAACCTCTGAGCCACCACAGCCCTGTCATACACATATGTACATATATACCAAGCAGTACTTCGTTTTCTTTTAGTTTAACAAACGGAGTCATCCTTTATAGTCTCTAGGGTGATGATGCCTGGAGATCTCCCAGAATTTTAAGTGACCTCCTGGCTACCGAGATCAGTCCCCCGAGAGAAAACGGCTGATTTGGATGATGGACTGTACGGCATTATGCCCCACTGAGGTCCTTCCTCTACCTCCAAATCTCCAGGAATTTCCCAACCTGGAGTTGGCAACCCTCCATGCGGTTCGGAGCGCTGGCAGGGGAAGGGCGGTAGAAAGACCAGCCACTTCCATGTAGGCAACTGAGCATGCGCGGGCATGAATCCCTTCCCCCCACGGAAGTTCTAGAGCGAAAATGTATCAATTTCTTTCCGCGGAAACTGATTGGCTGCCGCGTTCTTCCCCGCGCGTGCGCAGTCGTCCCCCGCAGCCCCGCGCTTCCAAGCCTTGGACCTCCGCTCTTGGGGAAGCGCGTTGCAGATCCGCGAGGATGGTGGGCGCGACGCCCGTGCGCAGCCCGGTGAACCTGCGGGAACTGCTGCTGGCCGGGGCGGAGGGGGGTAGCGCCACCACCACGGAGGGGGGCAGCCCCGCCACCACGCCCACCAGTAGCGGTGGCGGTGGCGGCGGGCCCGGGGTGGCCTCCCCCGCGGAGGAAGAGGAGGTGTGCGTGGTGGGCATCTTTGGCAAAACGGCTTTGCAGCTCTGCTCCGAGAAGGCGGCCTTGGTGAACACGGTCTGCGACAGGCAAGTGTTCCCTCTCTTCCAGCGGGAGACCGAGGCCAGGCCGGCGGACGGGGAAGGCGTCGAGCTGGCCGCGGAGTCCCCTGCGCCTTCCTCCTCCTCCTCCTCCTCTTCCTCGTCTTCTTCCTCCTCTTCTTCTTCTTCCTCCTCCTCCTCCTCCTCTTTGCAGGGGGATTACAACCTCTTGCAAGCCTATTACAGCCCGGAGTGCAAGGTGCTCTACCTGGTGCTCACCTCCATCTGCGACAGCCGCCAGCTGCTGCAAGCCTGTAGGGACCTCGATGCCATGGGGGATGGCCGGGTGCCTGGGGGCCTAGGGGGGCACCCTGCCCAAGGTGGCTCCCCACTGCCTCACGCGGAGGCCCACGAGTTTTGGAAGCACCAGGAGAAACTGCACTGCCTCAGCCTGCTGTACCTCTTCTCCGTCTGCCACATCCTGCTGATGGTGCACCCAACGTGCTCCTTCGACATTACCTACGACCGGGTTTTCCGGGCTTTGGACGGGCTGCGGCAGAAGGTGCTGCCCTCCCTGAAGTCTGCCATCAAGGACTGCCCCGTCGGCAAGGACTGGAAGCTCAACTGTCGGCCTTGCCCGCCCCGCCTTCTCTTCCTCTTCCAACTCAACGGGGCCCTCAAAGTGGAGCCCTCTCCGGGCAGGGGGCAGGAGCTTTGTGGGCATCTGGAGAAGCCTCCCCCGAAGAAGCACTCCCCCAAGAGGAGGCTCCAGCACGCTCTGGAGGACCAGATCTACCGCATCTTCCGCAAGAGCCGGGTGCTGACTAACCAGAGCATCAACTGCCTCTTCACCGTCCCGGCCAACCAGGCGTTCGTTTACATCGTGACGGGCGGAGCTCAAGAGGGCGACGACCCCATTGCAGTCTTGCTGGATCAGCTCCGCAGCAACTGCACGGCCCGAGAGGCGGAGTCCATCTTGACGCCTGCCTTGACCGGGCCCAGGAGGTACCAGATGATGCGCCATGGGCGGCAGCAGCTATCCTTCCACGTGGAGAGCAGCAGCTCTGGTTCTTCGGGCCAGCTGGTGGACTGCACCTTGAAAGAGTTCCTTTTCCAGCACGTTGAGCTTGTCCTTGGCAAGAAGGGCTTCGATGACAGCGTGGGCAGGAACCCCCAGCCGTCCCACTTCGAGCTTCCTACTTACCAGAAGTGGGTGGCCACTGCCCTGAAACTGTATGAAGTAGCAATTGAAGGCAAAGACAGTGACCCTTCTTCTGTTGCTGGGGAGCTGACTTCCAAGATTTTGAGCAGCATCAAAGTCTTGGAAGGCTACTTGGACATCGACACCAAGTTCTCGGAGAACCGTTGCCAGAAGGCCTTGCCGATGGCCCACAGTGCATACCAGTCCAACCTGCCGCATAACTACACCATGACGGTGCATAAGAACCAGCTGGCTCAGGCCTTGCGGGTGTACAGCCAACATGCCCGGGGACCGGCTTTTCACAAGTACGCCCTGCAGCTGCACGAAGACTGCTACAAGTTTTGGAGCAACGGCCACCAGCTGTGCGAAGAGAGGAGTCTGACTGACCAGCACTGCGTGCACAAGTTTCATTTGCTCCCTAAATCAGGTGAGTTTAGAGCAAGGGTCCCCAGTCGGTTGGAGCCTAAAGGCACCTTTGGAATTCTGACACAGGGCGGTGGGTCGAACTGCAAAATGGCTGCCAGGGAGGCAGAGCTAGCCACACAATGCCAGGGGGGTGAGACCATGCTCAACTCGAGCAGTAACTCTTCAACATTTCAGGCAGAAGCTCTGTTAAATGGGATGCCTTTTAAAATGAACATAGTGTTTAGAAGTGTTGTCGTGTAGACACACAGCTTAATTGAGTCATACGGTGAAGATCCTGATGCTGTGGTGGCAGCTGTTACAGAAGCAGCTCAGGCAATCAGATCTCCGAGAACAGCCAATCCGAAGCCCTGCTGGGCCCAAGCCCCCCAACCTAGCTACACCCACATTCTAAAAATACTTGGTGGCACCAGGAAACATGTCAGTGAGCACCGTGATGCCTGTGGGCACCATGTTGGAAATCTCTAGTTTAGGGGGATGGTTACATCACACTCCCCCACCCCTTTTTATATAGGTGCCAGAATTTTGGAGAGTTATTATTAAGTAGTGGTTAAGTACATGGACTCTAATCTGGGAGAACCGGGTTTGATTCCCCACTCCTCCACTTGCAGCTGCTGGATGACCTTGGGCAAGCCATAGTTCTGATAAGAGCTGTTCTCTCAAGAGCAGTTTCTCTCAGAGCTCTCTCAGCCCCACCTACCTCACAGGGTGTCTGTTGTGGGGAGAAGGAGGGAAAGGAGTTTGTAAGCCGTTCTGAGACTCCGAGTGAAGGGTGGGGTATAAATCCAATCTCTTCTTCTTCTTTACGAAGGGCTATGCCCGCAAATCTAGTTTATGGGTAACATTGTAAGGAAGGAAACTATGCAGCCAATGTCTGCTAAACTCTTCACAGCTTAATGGATTCCAGCTGGATAGCCACATTGGTCCATAGCAGCAAAATAAAAAATCTAAAGTAGGGGTGTCAGACATAAAGTCCAGGGGCCGGAACCGACCCATCCAGGGGTCTTACCCGGCCCGCAAGCAACTGGTATGTACGGAAATGTCAGGTACTCCCCCTTTCATGGTATCCCTTGGGGAAAAAACTTAGTCTTGCATATTATTAAATACATTTATTGGGGCTTTTGTAGGTTCCCCAGTAAATCAGTTGTTTTCACTGCTAGAAATCAATTGCTTTTGTTTGTATTTTGAGTAAAAATAATATTGTCAATTGGGTTTGCCTGTGTCCTTTATAAAGTTTATATTTCCGGTGCCTGGCATTACATTTTATGGCACACATGGCCCGGCCCAACAAAGTGACATTTATGCCAGATCCAGCCCTCATAACAAATGAGTTTGACACCTCTGATTTAAGGACTAACAAAACTCTTCGTTAACATTTATTGTGACTGAAAACCAGCCAAGCAGTTTACCAGCACAGTTTACATACAAATGTAAAATTAATATACAGGAATTAAAATTCATAGCTCCCAGAAGAGATCAGGGCCCTGCAGGATCTCTTACAGTTCCGCAGGGCTGCAAGACAGAGCTCTTCCACCAGGCCTTCGACTAGGAGCCGCCCCCACTATTACCATCAACAGGCCTGGCCCTCAGCTTTAACATCTGGCTCACACCATCGAGTGATTCAGGACGACACTGAGCCAGAATTCAGCAGTTGTCGACATCTCTAGCATGCCACCGCAAGCAATGAACTGTATAAGTAATAGCACCTTATGATTTTAGGAATTTATCGGTATTGTACTGTTTTATGGTTTTATCGGCAATTGGTGCCAATGCTGTAAGCCACCCTGAGCCCGCTCGCGGGGAGGGCGGGGTATAAATTGAATTAATATTAATATAAATAAATAGATATAATTGATTATACATTAGACATTATTAAAAGGTTTGGAATATCTGCTTTCTTATGGACAAAGTGTCAGCACAGAATATGGCCCCTTTAGAGGTGGTCTCTCTAGATCGGTCTCCAAGAAGGAGATTTCTATGGAACTTATCAGGTCTTCCTGGGAACTTGGATAGAACAGGGGTGAGATGTGTGGGACAAAAGACTAGCAAAGTTTATTTCAGCATAAGTTTTTGGGAGTCACATGAAGCCGCCATATACTGAATCAGATAATCAGTCCATCAAGGTCAGTATCGTCTTCTCAGACTGGCAGTGGTTCTCCAGGGTCTCAGGTCTTTCATGTCACCCACTACCTGATCCTTTTAACTGGAGATGCCAGGGATTGAATCTGGGGCCTTCTGTAGGCCAAGCAAATGCTGTACCACTGAGCTGCTCATCATAAAACCTCGTGGGTTGCACGTGGTAGGCATTGTCCCAACTCGCTTTACCTCTGGCAGTTTTTTAAATTAGATCTTTAAACTTGCCTGTCTTAACGACTCAAGGTTCAGTACAAAATATCTGTGGTGATACAGTTTTTTTAAAAAAACAACAACAACACAACTATAGCTGCAAATGCTCACCCAGAACTCTCTCATTGCTTCTAGGAAAAAATATTCTTGGTCTTGTTAGATGGCTGTGTTTTCACTGGAAACTTGCTTTTAAAAATTGTAGGAAAATTGTAGGCTGTTGAATTCTATGCAATGTAAGAGTCAAGTGAAGCTGGCAGAGTTTTCCAAAGGGGAGTAACAAATACTTTTCTGTTTGGCTTCACTTCAAAGGGGAAAAACCTGAACCGGATCGGAACCCACCAGTGTTGTACCACAACAGCCGTGCTCGCTCCACTGGGGCCTGCAATTGTGGAAGGAAGCAGGCACCCAGAGACGATCCCTTTGACATCAAAGCAGCAAATTATGATTTCTATCAGGTAATCTGCTTATCGACTTCTCTGTTCCTTGACTAGCACCTTGAGTCTCCATCCTTTGACAAAGAAATGTGGCTTTTTATTTATTCATTTACAAAACATATACCCTGCCTTTCTGCCCTCATCAAGGCCAGCAAGGCACCTAACAAATCAAAAACATTTGTAATTGTTTTGTTTATTTAAAACATTTATTAGCTGACTTTCTTCATTACGAAGCTAAAGGCAGCATACAACGTGGGTAGGTGTGTGTGTAAAGTGCCGATTTATGGTGACTTTATAGAGCTTTCACAGCAAGAGACATTCAGTGTTGGGTTGCAGTTTTCTGCTTCTGTGTCACAGCCCTGGTATTCCTTGGAGATCTCTCATCCAAATACTAAGCAGGGCCAACCCTGCTTAGCTTCTGAGATCTGATAAGACTGGACTAGCCTGGGCCATCCAGGTCAGGGCTACAATGTAAGTAAAATATGTAATATGAAATATATTTAATTTTTTTTAATTTCAATTCACAATTCAGGACAGCTAGTGAACTTAATGAAAGACGGTGAAGTTTGGTTGACTAAGTGCCATAATAAAAAGCCATCTTAACAACCATTAAAACCAAACAAAAACACATCATTAAAAAGAAGTTAAAATAAACATATGAAAACCTGAAAACAACAATTAAGACATAAGGCAGGTAGGCAGGATCGCTACAGCACCCAAATAATTTCTGCCCAGGACAGGCTACAGCAGGCTAACTGGGTGACACTGGTAAAAGGCACTCCTGCCCACAGCCGCTTATGGTTTTCAGTCTGGGTAATGCAGACAGTCCCCTTGCACGGTTATTTGTAGCAGTCCATGGCTGGTGTTTTGTGAGAAGGAGTCTTTCCCCCCAAGCAGTAGGGAGTTTCCTGACTGCAGGAATCCTTTGTCTTCCCAGCTTTTTATCCAGATGGCTGTCCAGTTTATTCATTTATTTCATTTATACCCCCACTTTGCAGCTCTTGTAAAACTTTAAATTCACAGACATTAAACAACCATGATAGTGAGTATTCTGAGTGGAAGATTAAATAGTACTCTTTTGAAATAGTACAGGTTGAAATATCTTCTTGTACTGTAAGATGACTTTTTAAATTTCAAAAATAATTAGCTTGTTGTAATATTAATAAAATTGTAGCTGTAGCTTTTCACCACTTGGTTGAAACAATGTCCCTGTGTTTTGCTGCTTTAAAGGGAAACGTTTATTCTTGATGGAGCAAGTTCTGCTTTAGCAAGGGGGGAAAGTCCTTTAAGCCAGAGCTGAAAAGGCTCTGGCTCTGATTGAGGCAAGGCAGACATATTTGGAGCCGGGGGGAGTGGGATGTCTCTAAGGAAAGGGGGCAGCCTGCATTGGGAGAGGATGGTTTATCTTTGTGTTGCACTTTGGGTTACCTGTTTTCCTGGCTGTGGTTCCTAGGTAGCCCCCAAAGGAGACTGAAATACTTTGCAAACAGGTGCTTCGTGGCTGTTGGCTTACCACAGCTACGTAATAGATGAGTGTGGCTCTTGAGATTCAGCTGCGGTAATTGATGGTGACTTCAATATCCAGCTGACGGTTAGTCAGTCATAGAACAGTTAGATTTGAGCCCCACAAGATTTTCAGGGTGTGAGCTTTGGAGAAGAGCTGTATCTGATGAAGGGAGCGCATACCCCAAAATTTTGTTCATCTCTAAGGTGCTACTGAACTTGGTGTTCTAATTCATACCAATATGGCCACCCTCTGAAACTATCAGGTACAGAAGCTGCTGTGGCTGCTAACCGTGGGCTTTTGGGTAGTGTAAAGAGACGGTCTCCAAATCAGCCTGTCAACCGGCCTCTAGATTGGCAGGAACAGAAGCAGAGGGGCCTAATTGCAGGACATGTAAAGTGTTTTCCTCACATGTACAATTTCCAAAGGGAATAATTGGTCCAGGGCTTCTCACTGCTCTGTTGGGCCAGGTGGTCTATTTTCTAAGGGATCTGCAGCAGCCAGGAGCTGTAAAAGAAAATAAAAATTCAGGTCTGGCGGGACACATAAGGGACAAGTCTTCTGTAGTGGACAATGTTGCATTGAGACCAGATTCGAATCCCTGCTGAGCAGGCCCGTAGCTACAGTGGTGCATTTTGGGGCTCTGCCCCCTCAAATGTGAGGCACGGCCCACAGCAGCTGCTGCCCCTCTCCCTCCTGTGGCATTAAAATTGGTCCTCCAGCTGATCGGACCCCTCCCCTGCTGCCCCACAAAATTTCCCCACACCCCACCAACCCAAAATTTCTGGCTATGGGACTGTTGCTGAGCCACACAATTTACTGGATGATTTTGACCAAATTGTACTCTCTCTCTCGGCCTACCTTACCTCACAGCCCTATCGTAGTGATTGGGGGGGGGGGGATTTACCAAGCAGAGATCAGTCTGAGAATGAGAAAGCGAAGAGAGAAACTTTTACTGGGGGTTGTAAATGGCAAGCAGAATGCTGTCTGGAGGAGAGAAAGGAAAACAGCCATTTATGCAGATGTGTCTTGGGGATCTTTGTGCGGCTGGGAACATAGAACAAAGTTAGAGTCCAGTAGCATCTTTAAAACCAGCAAAGTTTTATTCAAGGTGTGAGCTTTTGTGTGCATGCACACTTCGTCAGACAATGAAATGGAATTACAGATCATACTTGTATATATACGGGTTAAATTAGAATGCAAAATAGTGAGGACCAGTGTTCCCTCTAAGCTGAGTTAGTGTGAGCTAGCTCACAGTTTTTTTGCCTCTGGCTCACACATTTTTGTCTTAGCTCAGGAAGGATGGCTCCAGAGTGAACTATTTTATGCAGGTGCCAAATGGCTCGGTCACAACTTTAATGCCAGTAGCTCACAAAGTAGAATTTTTGCTCATGAGACTCCACAGCTTAGCGGGAACATTGGTGAGGACACTTTAAAAAAAAAAAACAGATCAAAAGAATGACAAGTTTAGTTCCTGGTAATCATCTGTTTAAGTTCATCTGGGGGGGATCTGTTAAAAAAAAAGTGTCCTCACTATTTTACGTGCTGATTTAACAAAGCACTCCTGTATATGCAACTATGATATGGAATTCCATTTCATCGTCTGATGAAGTGTGCATGCACACGAAACCTTGAATAAAACTTTGTTGGTCTTAAAGGTGCCACTGGACTCTTAACTTTGTTCTGTTGCTTCAGACCAACACGGCTACCCACCTTGATCTATCTGCTGGGAACATAGTTATCTCTCTATTGAAAATTTTTAACATATTACCTCTTCTCCCCCATTGCCCCCTTTCAGCTGTTGGAAGAGAAATGTTGCGGCAAACTGGATCATATCAACTTCCCCATATTTCAGCCGAGTACACCAGACCCGGCCCCGGCCAAGAATGAATCGTCGGCCAGCCCTTTGGAAGGGGAAGTGGAAAAACTGAAGGAGAAGGAGCCGCAAACTCAAGGCGAAAGCACCAGCCTGAGCTTAGCTCTCAGCTTGGGCCAGTCCACAGATAGTTTGGGTACCTACCCTGCGGATCCACAAGGTGGAGGGGACACCACAGAGGCTCATGGGCAGGCTGCAGAATCCAAAGGGGAAAAGAGGCCAAGCTTGGTAGACCGTCAGGCATCCACGGTGGAGTATCTCCCTGGGATGCTCCACTCGAATTGCCCAAAGGGTCTTCTGCCCAAATTTTCCAGCTGGTCACTGGTGAAACTCGGCCCTGCCAAGGCTTACAACTTCCACACTGGCTTAGACCAGCAGGGCTTCATCCTAGGGACAAACTATTTGATGCCTTGGGACATCGTGATCAGGACAAGGACTGAAGAGGAGGGAGACCTGGACACTAATTCCTGGCCAGCTCCCAACAAGGCCATTCCCGGGAAGAGAAGCGCGGTCGTCATGGGGAGAGGAAGGCGTCGGGACGATGTGGCTCGTGCCTTTGTGGGGTTTGAGTACGAAGATGCTCGCGGCCGGAGGTTCATGTGTTCCGGGCCGGAGAAAGTCATGAAGGTGATGGGAGGGGGACCGAAAGAATCGGCCATCAAAGCTCTCAACTCCGATATGCCTTTGTACATCTTGTCATCCAACCCGGGGCGAGGGCTGAAACCACACTACGCTCAGCTGATGAGACTTTTTGTTGTGGTTCCCGATGCGCCTCTCCAGATAATACTGACACCGCAGGTAAGATGGGTGCTGTTACGGAAGGACTGAAGGGGTTTCCTTGCTGTGGCGTATGACCACTGCAGAAGAAGAAATGACTTTGTTGTTAGCACTAGTTGTTAAACTGTTCCATGGAAATGCTCAGGTTTTCCTGATTTCCTTGGAGAAAGGGTGGGATACAAAGTGAATGGGTGGCAGGAAGTACCGTCGAGTCGCAGTCAATTTATTGCAGCCTGAGGATTTTCAAGGCAAGAGATGCTCAGCGGTGGCTTGCTATTGCCTGCCTCTGCGTAGCAACCCTAGACTTCCTTGGTGGTCTCCCATCTGAGTACTAACCAGGGTCAGCCCTGCTTTGCTTCCGAAATCAGGCTAGACTGGGAACTGAATGGTATCCCTCCAATTCGCCCCAGAATCTTCTGCCACATGCCAGGATTCCATGACAGATATGCAGGAATTACTAATTAAACAGTCCATGTGTAAAGGCAGCTTGAAAACCACTGTCTTAACACCTGAATGGTATCACAATTCTGCAGTAAAAAACAATGTTAAATATTTAGACTTTTGTCCTCGGAGCTTTCAAGTCTATCAGAGAGGGGGAGGAATAGTAAATAATCAGCTGAGAAAAGAGAGTCTTTGAGGTGTTTAAAATTTAAAAAGTACTTAGCATTATCAGAGCCAATGCTACAAGTGTCTCCAATCCTCCACCGGAAACCTCCCATGTTCTCCAATTCTGCAGTAATAAAATATACTTCGTGTTTTGTATATCATATTGGAGTATTCGGAGCTTTCCACATATGTTATCTTAGTCATCCGTACAACAGCCCTGTAAAGAAGGCAGCCTATGGCTGACTGAAGGTTTGTACTGGGTTGTTGTTGTTGTTCAGTCGCACAGTCGAGTCCGACTCTTCGCGACCCCATGGATCATCTCCCGCCAGGCCCTCCTGTCTGGGTACTGGCTCACAATTCATCTAAGGTCCCTAGCCACTGTGCTGCATTGGTGGGGAGGAACAATTTGGTTTATCTCGGTGAGTTTGTACTTTTTTTAAAAAAAACTTTTTACAGTGTTAAACTGAAGTGACTTTCGCAACGTTACAGCAGCTCTGAAACACTCGAATGGGGGCAGAAGTTATTAGTAGCAAGTGATACGGTGTCTGAATTGTCAAATCTGTTGGAGAGAGGCTGTGGTTCAGTGGTAGAGACGCTGTTTTGCATGCAGAAGGTCCCAGGTTCAATCCCTGGCTTCTCGAGTTAAAAAAGGTCCAGGCAGTAGATGATGTGAAGGACATCCACAAGCGGCTCCGGAGAGTCGCTGCTAGTCTGAGTGTACAATACTGACCTTTATGGACTGATGGTCTCATTCAGTATTAAGGCAGCTTCGTGTGCATTCATGTGTCTATGCAGCAACACCAAGTAAAGCTTGGTGTAGCCCTTTCCTCTGGAGGGGCTGTGGCTTGGCGGGAGAGCATGTGCTTGGCATGCAGAAAATCTCCAGTTCAGTCCTTGGCATCTCCAGTTAAAGGATCTGAGATGGCAGATGCAAGGGAGAGCATTCCTTTGCATGAGAGCTGCTGACGGTTAGAGCAGACAGTGCTCAGCTAGAGGGTCAAGTTTTCTGACCTGGCATAAGGCGGCTTCTTTTGTTTGTATACTTCTGTTGGTGTAAGTGCTATTAAATTGCAACTGTTTATGGCACCCCAGCAAAGGGCTTTCAAGGCAGGTGAGAAGCAGAGGTGGTTTGCCATGGCATTCCTCTGCGGGGTCTTCCTTGGTGGTCTTTCATCCAACTACCAACCCTGCTTAGCTTCCAAGATCTGATGAGTCTGGGCTATACCAGGCCACCTTCACTCCTGTCCTTCTGTTAAAGGGGGGGGGGGGGAATTAAAATAGCTTTGTTAAATTCACCTGTTGGAGTCACTAACGCTATTTTCTGCTTGCTTTTCTTTCCACTCCCACCCCTTCCAGGTCCAACCAGGGCCCCCTCCTTGCCCGATATTTTACCCTGAGAAGCAAGAGATAACTCTTCCTCCTGACGGACTGTGGGTCCTTCGATTTCCTTATGCTTATGTGACAGAACGGGGGCCCTGCTTTCTTCCGAAAGAAAACCAGCAGTTGATGAGTTACAAGGTTATTCGAGGGATTCTAAAGGCTGTGGTACAATAGCAACTATTGGACCTCAAAGACTGAATTAGTTTTGGAAGTTATTTTTCCTTTCCCCCTCTCCCCCCATCCCCAGCATTCCCCTGAAATGTATGACGGATTTTGATTACTCACTGTTGAGATTTTGAAAGTAATCACTGCTTTGATTTCATGAAACCAGTATATGTACAATTTTGAAATGATCTATGCGTGCCAAAAAGGATGCTGAGAAAGGCAGGAATAGTCATACTGAAGACAGGTTCTGGCTAACCCATTGCAATTCCATATATTGGGGGGGGATTGATTTGTAAAACAGCTATACAATGGAACATTCACATAGATTCTGGATCCTGACAGCATGAGTCATTTGAGTGGAAATAAATGGCTGACGAAACAGAGAGCTGTGAAATTATTTATTTCAACACGTTGGTTTCTGCACAGTTAAATTTCAAACTGGGCCCTTGACACAAATTTATTGGTTCTAAACATGCTGAAGGCAAAGGAAATTCTCAGGAAATGTGGCACGTCTTATATTATACGTCTTATATATCAGCTTTGTATGGAGTTACTATGACTCGGCAATTGTATTGTGATTGGCTGACTGCTGTATATATCCTGCCGTGTACTGTGCATTGACTGACCTACATGGTTACTGATGCCTGGCGTAGCACCCTGTTGGACTAACAGCCTGTTTTGGAGTGACTACAAGGACTGTGTAAATATCTCTCCCTTATTATAATTGAATAGCAACGTTCTATATTGCAACGTTCTAAATTTGGCCCCTTTAGTGTTTGGCCGGAAGAACTGCCACTCAGAAGACGCTGGCTGGGTTGACTGGCTGCTTTGTGCAGTCCCGCCCAGCGTTTCAAGGTCTTTTGCATGTGGAAGCTGATTGGACTTCACTCCATTCCACACCTCAAACTCCCCCCCCCCGCAAGGCAGTTGGAATTTTCAGTTGCATATGGGAACTGCTGTATTCTGAGGTAACATATGTCCTCACTTAAAAGCTGCCTGGGGGATTATGGACCATTCACACACTTTCAACCTTAACATACCTCATAGGGTAGTTGTGCGGATCATACGGGGGAGAGGAGAATGATGTCAGCTGCTTTGGTTCCCACTGCATGGAAAGACTGCCCTTTCCCTAGCCAGAGGCTGTGGGGGGGGGATGTAAAACGTAAGACAGACAGGCAGATAAAGGTTGGCTGATGGTTGCGTGGAAAGGACATAGGGTTGCCAACTCCAGGTTGAAAACTTCCAGGATATTTTAGGGATGAAGCCTGCTGAGGGTGGGGTCTGAGGAGGAGGAGGAAGAGGGGGACCTCAGACAGATACAATGCCATACTGCCCACACTCCAGACAAGCTGTTGCCAGTCTCCAGGTGACAGCTGGAGAGCTCTTAAAGCTTTGGTGCTAATTCAAACTGTTGCAATTTATCGACAGAGTAGTGTTTCGGAAAATCTTTAGGAATTGTTTGGTGCATTTACGATGGGGCTCCTGGGGAACT